CGCTCTGGTTTCCCTGGCCTGCCAGTTCGTCCTCGAGGTCCTCGGGGGGGCCGGGGCCGTCTGGGGGTGTGCCGAGCTGGCGGGACTCCGCGGAAGCGGGGCCCCCGATTCCGGAAGGGCGGCTTCCAGGACGGCCTCCCTGGTGGTCGGGGCCGTCTGCCTGGCCCGCTTTTTGGTGGTCCGCCTGCTGGTGCCCCTCCGGCCGACGCGGCACCAAGCGAGCACAAGCACACGCACACGTGCCGGGTTCTGGGAGCTGGCCCGGGCCGCGGCGGGGGATCCGGTGCTCGCTCTGCATCCCTCGCGGGGGATGCTCGCGGGATTCCTCCGTGGGCCCCGGGGGAGGGACACCGGCGGCGACAGCGGCAACGAAATCGAGAACAAAATCGACCACGAAATCGACCACGAAATCGAGAGCCCCGTGGGGTGCCGAAAGCCCCCTTCTTCCCCTCCCGCCCTAGGGGGGGCCGGAGGGCCTTCGCCACGGGGCAGCACCTGGGACGCGTCCTCGTCCTCCTCCGACGACGACTACGACTGCTGTAGCCCGTAACGGCGCTGCGGTGCATCGTTTTTTTTAAAACAGCAATCTACCGGATCCGATGCCGGTCGGTCGTTGACACTACTACTGCATGGTTCGGAGCGGCAGACAAGCATAGCACTGGTAGTATTACTGCACAGTACGGTACTGTAGTCGCAACACTAGTTCTACTGCCCTTGTGATTTTTCGGTGTTGAGCAGGACCAATGGGATTGTCAAAGAGATCAGGAAGCGCGGCACTCGCAGAAGCTTGTGCCGACAACAACAACGACTTTTCAGCCAAAGACAACAGAAACCGATTCTTCCAATCCTTAGTAGAATAACGAGTACGAGTACGAGTACGGGAACATCAGGGGGGCATCTCACAACAATTTGAAGCTGCAGTACTAGTAGTAGTACTCGTACCAATACTACTACAAATCCCATCCCCAGCGTTTCTCCATCAAAAACAGATGAGAGCAACGAGTGTGAGAGAGTACCTTACAATCACGAGTAGATAGTGAATACCCTCACTCTTTATTGTAAACACGTATTCATACTTCATACGGCACTGGAGAGCATTATACCATTTCACAACGAGTACTCGTACTACGTAGTTTTACCGTAGAACGGTAGTAAAGTGACTAGCAACAGCTACCAGTATGTTAGTAGTTGTATGTTAGGTATAAACAACTGATACTAGGGCATACTTTTGGCATTCCTCGCCGTGCCTGCCACCACCGTCGCGTTGTCGCCGACGGTACTCGTACCGGTATATTTTCCGGGAACAAACAGGGTTTGTGTCCTTCTTTCTTCGAGATTTCACACACACAACAAACAAAACACACAATACACAATANTCGTACCGGTATATTTTCCGGGAACAAACAGGGTTTGTGTCCTTCTTTCTTCGAGATTTCACACACACAACAAACAAAACACACAATACACAATACGCAACACAATACGCAACACACGGACAACACGATCCAATACGCCAAACGTCCTCCCGCACGGAAAGGGATCCGACCGACAAACAACGCCACGCTCTTCGGGAAGACCAGATCCACGGCATGCCGGCCGAACCCGACCGAAACACCCATGCCAACGAGAGCAGCGAGAACAACAACACCAACCACGACGACGGCAGCGGAAACGGCAGCGGCAACGGCAACGACCCACCCCCTGTCCTTCTCCGCGACATCCTGCCCCCGGAGGATCCCACCGGCGACCAGGGCGGCGAGCGGGCGGTTTGCGTCCGCCTCTACCTGATCCGGCACGGGCAGACCGACTGGAACCGTGCCGGCCGGGTCCAGGGCGGGGGCTACGACGTTCCCCTGAACGCCACCGGGAGGCTCCAGGCCAAGCGGGCGGGGAAAGCCCTGGGGGGGATCCCCCTGGACCTGGTGGCATCCTCGGGGCTCTCCCGGGCCTCGGAGACCGCGGACCTGGTGGCCCTGGAAGTCCAAGCCCTTGCAAAAAAAAGCGGGAGTGGCAACCACCACAACGGTTGTTCCCCGGCCCGTGTGGTCGACAAGGGCTTCAACGAGATGCGCTTCGGGGCCCTGGAGGGAATCAAGGGGACCCGTGGCCGTCCTTGCTCCCGAGGGGGGGAAGACCGGCTCTGGGAGCGGGCAAGGGCCGCAAAGGAAAAGGTCCGGCTGGACCCGGACTGCTGCTTCCCGGCCACCCTTTTCGGCGAAGACGACGATTGCGGCGGCGACGACGACGACGAAGCGGCGGAAAAGGACAAGTGGAGGGTCCTCGAAGGAACGAGGGAGGGAGAGTCCACGCGGATGGTCCAGGAGCGATCCCTGCGGGCCCTGTCCGGGGTCCTTTCCGCCGTCCCGGGCGGGGAAAGACTGGGGGGCACCGACACCACCAAAAATACCGAGAAGCGCGTCTACCACGTCGCCGTCGTCGGCCACGGCCGGACCAACAAGGTCCTCCTGGCGGCCATGCTGCACGGGGAGGCCCAGGGGCGCTATTCGGAAATCCAGCAGGGGAACGCATGCATCTATGTCCTCGACCTGRGGGAGGACGCCCTCCACAACCAAGGCAATGGGAACGACACGCGGGGGCTCTGGAAGCCCCTGCTGGTGAACCACACGCAGCACGTGCTCGAGCCGCAGCTTTAGGGAAGAAAAAGGGCAGGGGCCTGCCCCGCGGGAAAAACCACCGGAAGCAAAGCCACGCCGCACCAGGGCAATCCTTGGTGATCCGTGCCGTGGTGCCGTAGACCGCGAACCGCAACAAAATTCGTTTCGTTTCGTTTCGTGGTGATTTTTACAAGGGCCGTATCTCTCGCACGGAACAAGAACGGGCTCGGCTCCACGCTGGATGCTCCTTTGGATGGATCGAGTGCCGGGATGCATTCCGCCGCGCCTCGTCGCAACGACTCTGGGACCGGCAGCCGTGCCGCAAACGCATCATGGTACCGAATACGGTGAAAAACGCTAACTACTCGTTACTACTGCACCAGATAACTCGGAACAAACAATAGTTAGTAGTGGCGAACAGACAATTCCGTCGTTCTCGTTGTGCTTTCTACCATGGTGGCATTGCGTGTCTGCCGTTTGGTTCACTCTCGATACGATTCGATTTGATTCGATTCACAGACTTTCGTTCCCTTGTCAAAGATCCTTCTCTCTGTTGTTTTCTGCAACAACGAACGTCCCGCGACATCCACGGGCCGAACGGAGGAGAGAAAAGATCTTGTCATTCGGGCGGAGTGGGCGAACCGACCGAATAGCGACACCAATCACATCGTCACAGGCAAGCACACAGCCTCCACAGCCGCGCGCTGTATGTGGTGCTCCCTTTTTTCGCTTCGTTTTACCTTGCTTGGCGTTGCCTTGCCTTGCCTTGCCTTGCCTTCCTACAACTCGCCGTCGCCACCGTTCTCCCGGACGTCCCTCACGGCGGCGACCAGGTCGTCGACCTCCAGTGCCGATCCCGTGACCTCCGGGTAGGCGTACCTGGGCTCGCCGTCGCTACCAAAGACAATGATTCCACCCGTCTTGAGGCCCTCTCCGACCAAGTTGCCCTCGAGGCCCTTGGACTTCATCCGCTTGTTCATCCCCTTCATGCCCTTGTAGATCTTGTAGGGGTTCAGGAGGGACCACCAGCTCAGGTGGTCAGTAATCTTGCCGTCGCCAAAGGCGCGGTAGAAATCGAGGTTCTCGTCCCGGTAGAGTGGAAACTTAAAGTGGTCCCCGTGAAAGACGCGGAGTCCCTCGTCGTCCTGCGCACGGAACGAAACACGGCACGGTACAAGCGATGGACGATGTGCAATCAAAACGTAAGAACCCGGGCGCTCGGAGAAAACCAACAACAGCAGGAGCAACAGAGAAACAAATGGCCAAACAACCCCAACTCTTCGGTATTGCAAAACACGCCATTCGATCCAACAAAGGCACCAAAGCAAAAACACAGCGGAACAAGACACGAGGCACCAAAACAAGGAGCTGCGATACGCACCACTCCAGTCTCCTTGACGACCCCGAACAGATCRAATCCCTCCAGGGGGGAGGCCTCTCCTCCCTCGCCAGTYGCCGCCAACTCGGACAGTTGCTGCCCGTGTTCGCGGCACAAGACTCACCCGGGCCTGCGGACCACGAAGCAGATGCTCCCCGCCTTTCCCGAGTTGGCCGCCACGGCTTCTTTTCCGGTGACGGTCTGGTCGGCGGACTCTGTCACCAGGTCTCCGATCCCCGGAGAAAAGTCGATCGGGACCAGGCTGGCGGTGGACAGCCAGCTCGCCGAGTCCTTCATGAGAGGCGTAAGGTGCATCCGCTTGGGAACACCCACGGGCATCGCGTCGGCCATGGTGGCCGTGGAACTACCGGTGGAGAAGAGGGACAGTACCGCAGCAGCGGCAAATGCGAGGGTCGTGGGAGACGAAGGTCGAAATGCTCGTGTTGCCGAAGCCGCTCCCCTCAAGCCGTTCGCAAGAAGAAATGGCATGGACCGTCGGCGCGCAATGTGTGGCAACGATGACGTGCTGCTCTTCTGAAACGAGACCTGAACTGGGATCGCGATTTCAGATCCAGCCAAGGTGGTGACTGGCGATCTTGCTTTCGGCTAAAATTCTTCCACACTTTGTTGTGTACGTGTGTGAGACTGTGAGTGTGTTCCAAGCCTTTGCCGTCCACACCAAAAAGAACTCTTGGTGTCAGTAAAAAGAAACGAAAGATAATCGAAAGGATAGGATAGTACACGTACGTACTGGAACTCGCCAATCTACCGTAGCACCTACCGGTATCGTACGCGGATGCAATAAGCTTTTTCCGTTGTTGCGCAAAACAGGCGTCATCGGAGTGACGCCTTCCTCGTGATTGTACATGGTAACCGTACGGTACGTACCGTTCGAAGGGGTCATACTTTAGACCCCTGTGACCGTACGTATGTACAACACAGAACGTACTCGTACGAGTACTGACCCCTGGCGTCCAGTATCCAGTAACTAGATCATACCTACGATTCGCTCATATCAAGGTATGTACGAGTAGATAGTGAATAAGCTCACTCTTTATTGTA